TAGCTAGGAAGGAGATTGAATCAGTAATCAAAATTTTAAAATCAAAGTAGAACAGATTGCTGGTTCCAAGAGGCAATGGGGGATGAGAAAAATGACTGAACTTCTTTTTTTGAGTTTAAATAAATTGAATAAAATTTTCTAAAAAGTAAAATACACATCACATGAAACTTGTCATTGTAACCATTTTTTAATTTAATTTTTTTTTTTCAACGTTTATTTATTTTTGGGACAGAGAGAGACAGAGCATGAACGGGGTAGGGGCAGAGAGAGAGGGAGACACAGAATCGGAAACAGGCTCCAGGCTCTGAGCCATCAGCCCAGAGCCCGACGTGGGGCTCGAACTCCCGGACCGCGAGATCGTGACCTGGCTGAAGTCGGACGCTTAACCGACTGCGCCACCCAGGCGCCCCTGTAACCATTTTTAAGTATACAATTCAGTGGCATTTAAGTACATTCACAGTGTTGTACCACCATCACCCCCATCTAGCTTTAGAGCTTTTTCATCATCTCAAATTGAAACTCTGTTCCCATTAAACAGTAACTCCCACCTTCCCTTCCCCACAGCCCCTGGTACCTTCTCTATTTCTGGTTTCTATGGATTTGCCTATGTTAGGGACCATTTAAGTGGAATCATACAAAATGTGTCTTATTGTATCTGGTTCATTTCGCTTAGCATAATGTTTTCAAGGTTCATCCACCTTGTAGCATATATCAAAATTTCCTTCCTTTTTAAAAGGCTGAATAATATTCCATTGGGTATATGTCACATTTTCTTTACCCATTCATCTGCTAAGGGACATTTGAGGTGTTCCCAATATCGGCGATTGCAAACAATGCTATTAAAACTGGTATGTAAATGTTTGAGTCCCTGCTTTCATTTCTTTTGGGAATAAACCCAGAAATGGGATTGCTGGTTTAACTTTTTGAGGAACTGCCATACTGTCTTCCACGGTGGCTGCACCATTTTACCTACCCACCAGCAATGCACAAAGTTGAGCATTAATTTTTACAAGTCCTCATCAAACAGCTATTGTGTCGGGAGGAATTCAGTAAAACAAAGTCCAGGTGAGAGAATGCAACCTGAACTATGCCTCCCCAAATGTTGGACTGCTGTACATTCAAGGTCAAGGTAACAAACAACATACCTATTGTTGGAGGGTAAAGATCAAAGATTAGTGCCTGGGTGGCTCAGTTGGTTGAGTGACCGACTTCGGCTCAGGTCATGATCTCACGGTTTGTGAGTTCGAGCCCCGCGTTGGGTTCTGTGCTGATGGCTCAGAGCCTGGAGCCTGCTTCAGATTCAGTGTCTCCGTCTCTCTCTGCCCTAACCCACTCATGCTCTCTATCTCAGAAATAAATAAACATTAAAAAAATTTAAAAAAAAAAACAGATCAAAGATTAGGTGACTGAGGTATATTAAAAACTTCCCAGGAAAGAGAGAACTGTCATGTCAGGGACATATGTAGTGCTTGAAAACTTCATGATCCTTAGGTAAAAAAAGACCTGAGAAATATCAGAGAAGGAACTAGATCAGGAATCCCCTCCCAATATTTTATTATAAAAAATTATAAGAGAATTTTGGAAGAATTATATGTATATATCTACCACCCAAATCCTACAACTAACCTTTGGCTAAATTTGTTTTCTCAGATATGCATCCTTCTATCCATTCATCAGTCCATCTTGTTTTTTGATACATCTCAAAGGAAGTTACAGATATCAATACACTTCATCCTAAACACTTTATCATGCACATAATTAACTGGAGTTCAATATTTACTTATGGTGGTCAGGTGAAATTTATATATAGTGAAATGTACAAATCAAATTACCATTTGATGATCTTTAAAACTACAGCTTTAGGGGCCCCTGGGTGGCTCAGTCAGTTGGGTGTCCAACCTCAGCTCAGGTCATGATCTCACGGTTTGTGGGTTTGAGCCCCGCGTTGGACTCTGTGCTGACAGGTCAGAGCCTGAAGCCTGCTTCAGATTCTATGTCTCCTTCTCTCTCTGCCCCTCCCCCACTTGTGCTCTGTATCTGTCAAAAATAAATACATGTAAAAAAATTTTTTTTTTTAATAAATAAAACTACAGCTTTATTGGGGTGCCTGGATGGCTCAGTCCATGGAGCATTCAACTCTTGATTTCAGGGTCGTGAGTTCGAGCCCCACATTGGGGGGTAGAGTTTACTTAAAAAAAAAAATATTACAGCTTTATTGAGATATAATCTGCATTCCATAAAGTTCACCCCTGTAAAGCATATAGTTCAGTGTTGGTCTATTCACAAAGTTGTGCATCAGTCACCACTAATTCCAGGACATTTTCATCACCCCAAAAAGAAACCCCTATTCATCAGCAACTGTTCCCCATTCTTCCCTCCCTCCAGTCTCTGGCAACCAGTAGCCTGTTCCGTCTCTGCCCATCCTGGGCATTTCATATGAAAGGAGTCACACGTGGCCTTTGGGCTTAGCTTCTTCGTTCAGCATGTTTGCAAGGTTCACCCAAGTTGTCATCTGATGGGCTTTGACTTGCATAATGAGCAGGCTTTTTCATCTGCATTTTCTCAGAAAAGAGTCTCCTCAAATTCTCCAAGGGGTCTGGGACTCAACGAAGGAACAAGGAATCTCGGACGCTAGGGATACGTCTAGAGAACTGGAACACTAGTTTCAAAGTCCACCGCATCACAAATACTTGCAAGGATGGATTTGCCAGGAAGAACCCGCTTTTCTGACGAGGTAAGACCGTGAGGGCAACCGAGGGCATGCACAGGGCTTGTAGCCTTGCCAAAGAACCACCAAGGAAAGGGCTCCGGGACCTCCCAAAGGAAACGGCAGAGGACAGTCAACAGAATTGACAGCAAGGCTCCCTGGCCTTTAGAATTTCTAGGCCCAAGCAGCTTGCAAACAAAACCAGCAGAGGCTGGGGACACCTGGGTGGCTCAGTTGGTTAAGCATCTGACTCGATTTCGGCTCAGGTCATGATCTCACTGTTCATGAGTTCGAGTCCCGCATCAGGCCTGCTTGGGATATTCTCTCTCTCTCTCTCGCTCTCTCAAAAATTCCTCTGGGGAGGCTGGGGTAGCCTTAGTCCCTCCCATGAAGGAAAATACCCTACAGAACAAGAGAGGAGGGAGGGAGGTAGCCGGAAAATTCAGAGCTATGCAAGCCAAGCCCATCTTTGTTCAAGAAAATAGGATATAAATCTGCCCTCAAAACCTTCATCCCATTTCTAGTCTTTTTTTGCTCCCTTATGATCCTCCAGAAACAAATTCGGGAAATCAAAGCCTAGTCTGAGCCTTCCGTACCTCTAGTCAGGACAAAAGGGCTAGCATGGCTTAGCCACACTCCTGAGAGATGGAGAGTCTGGCAAGCGAGACTCAGTGGCTGGAGAGCTGGGGTCCCTGCGCCAGGACTCCCAAAATAGAAAACACGAGCCTTGCTGCTGAGAACAGTGTAATTAAAGAAGTAACGTTATTTTTAAAAATAAAAGATCTGAAGCAAACAACGTAGAGTGATAAAATTTAACAGAGTTGAATAGTGGATACACAGGTGTTTCCCCTACTTAATGTGTGATTTAAAGATTTTGTTTTAACACCATCTACGAAGAAATGAACAGACATGTCACATTCGTTGAGTCAAGTTTATTAAATTACCATGTGCTCAGCACTGTCCTAGGCAGGAACATGAGAAAAATTACAAAACAAGGTTTCAACAAGGGAAAAATATACTCTGCACTGTATTAATTTGCAATCATTTCCATGTTGCTTTCCAAAGAGTTCTTAGATTGTCTTGTGGTGTGTGGTCCCCTCTTTCTCCATGTTCCCCTAAAGCTTCTAGCTCTGTCAAACAATGTGCCACTATGACCATCCCCTGAAGAAGAGGATGGACAGGAAGAGCAGCTTCCTGCTGATGAGGCAGTTAGGGAATGGTCATGGAGTCCCATGGTGGGGAGACATGCCAAGAGGGAAACTGTCAACCCCGAGGGCTCAGGGCGCTCACAGTGATTCACACGAAGGCCAGACTTGGGGAAGCCACGGAGAGGGCCCGGAGGCCCTCACTTACCCCCTCCCCAGGGGATGTGCTTAAAGTGCTAACATAGTAAGAAAATGATGCATAGCTACATGCGGTCTTGGGTGCCCCTAGACTTCCCATCTCCCTCTTCTCCTCCTGACTTGTGCTAATAGCAGGCACTGGCACCACCGGGGACCAGGTCACGGGGGAAGTTTAGTGCCCAGTGAAGAAATGGGAGAAGGTCCAACGTATAACCTATGATGCCCAAGAGGAGGCACAGACAGAGAAGGGCAGAGACGTATGCGGCAAAAGGGACTGGTTTGTGCTTGGCCCTGCCCCTTGGGCCAGGGGTTGGTTCCTGTGCAAAGGGCAGTTTGGTTCCAGGTAGCTCTCCGGGTCCTAAATTTTCCCTGAGGGAACAAAGCTGCATAGCATGGGAAGGAAACTGAAGACATGCTGGGCCCTCCCTCTCCCCCACCCGGGCATGCCCCCATGCCTGCTGTACAAAGCGCTAAGGGTGCTGGCGTGTGACCCAGGGCAGGCCCAGACCACACTCGGCAGGCCCATGCCACAGTAGATGCTGGATGACCTGCAAACACACCTGGGTAAGAGCTCCACCCGCCTGCGCACAAGCATCGGTGAAAGCCCCCAACCTGAGTTAGAACAAGGGGCTAAGGTCCAGCTGGTGGCTCTGCCAAGGAGATCTGTGCCCCTGAGGGCCAGATCCCAGTGAAAGGTGTCACGTGGATGACAGAGGGCACCCCAGCCAGAAGGGCGAGCAAAAGTAGTAGTGGCACGACCTGGCCACAGAGCCAGGCAGAGGCTGCCTTGGAGGAGGAGGAGGGGGCCCAGGAGCCAAGAGGGCACCCCCTGCCCCCAATTTCGCCCGGCTCAGAGCCAGATCTCATCACTGCTCACACTGGACACTCGATAGATATAGCCCAGCATTGGGAGCCGGATGAAACCTGCAAGGTCAAAGATGCCGTGAGTCTCAGTAAGCATCACTGCCTGGAAGCTTGGAGACCCAGAGGCCTCTGGCATAAGCACAAGGGCTGGGGAGGAGAGGAGGGGGGCCGTGGGCCCATGCCCCTGTACCTCGGCTGGTAAGGAGGCCACCAGGCTCCGGGTCCAGCAGCTCTGGCCGGCTGCTGTTCTGAGCCATCTGCCGGTCTGCTGGTTTCTCTGTTGGGTGACAAACGGGGTGGTGCCCACGATGAGTGTGCCTGACAAGGCCTAGCCCCTCCTAGTACCAGGGTCTCTCTTTTCCTCAGAAGCACCTCTGAAGATAAAGCGGGGACAAACAAAGGGTGTACCTCTGGAATCCGGAGTGAGGTCGTTGAGCTGAAGGTTGGACGGGAGGGACATGTTCTCCCGTGGCAGGCGCACGTTGTTGAGTTTTAAGTTGTTGGAGTCACTACAGGGTGGACAGAGCCCGGGATATGCCCTAGCTCCAGCAGGCACAGATTCCTGCTTGGGGGCCCATTCCAGAACTAGAGAGACCCCGGGTTTCCAACCGTCCCCGTGCCGCATCTCAGTTCAGCTCAGCCAGCCAGCCCCAGGAAGAGTTACCTAGAGATCAGAGACGGGCGCCGGGAGGGACCTGGGGAGAAAGAAACCACACACTTTCTCAGGGTGCCTACTCACTCTGGGCTCTTCCCCGATGCCCTTTCAGACCCAGGACCCCCAGGACCCCCAGGCAAGGATCTCTCCAATGCCCAGCCTCTGGGACAGACTGGGTTCCCAGTGCTCAGCCCTGAGTTGCATCTGGTTTTACCCACGGCCATGCTCACGGAGACCCTTTCTGCCACTCGTCAGAGAGGACTTGCTCTGCCTAGCCCCACATGCTGCCCTCGCTGCTCCTCCTTCTCCCTGCCCCTCAGCCACCCTCTCTCTGCCCAGCCCCCTCCCCCTCCTGGCTCTGGACCTACCTTTGGTCTTCTTCTCTTTCCTGCAGACCAGGCAGGCCACCAAGGTGCTGAACCCCACCAGTGTGCCCAGGGCAAGCCCTCCCGCCACAACGATGCCCAGCAGCGGCACTTCCACTCGGGTGGCCAGGAGCCCTGCAAGTTGTCCTCTGGTTAGGTTCTAAGTGGGCGGGGTCCCCAACTCTGAGACGCTACAGGTGCCACTCGGTGCTCCTTGCCCAAGGTGGGCGGCACAGCTCGTTCACGAGACTCACCCAGAGGACAACTAGCCGTCCCATTTATGTACCGTGATCCTGCACCCACCTGAGGCTTTGCCGGGCCAGTCGCCGGCAGTGCTCACCCGGGGCCGGAAGCGAGGCGCTGGTGACACCCACGTCGTTGGCGGCCACCACGGACAGGTTGTGTGCCAGGCTGCGGAGCTGCAGCTGCACTGTGTGGTTAGTGAGCCAGGGGTAGCTCTGGGCATCCAGCACCAGGAAGTCGGAGGCGTTGACAGTCACCGGCCCATCCTGGTCGATCCAGGTCACGTTGGCAGGTGGGTTGGCACGCACCAGGGCAAAAAGGACAACCAGGAGGCCTGGGCCCTGAGCTTCCTGGTACTTGGCCCCAACCTGGGCAATCTCTGGTTTAACTGGTACAAAGCAGAAACCAACATATTCTCACCACACCTCTCGTACTCCTTGCCCACTCTTCCCAAACCCAGGAGCGAGCCGGGGGCCTCGACCTCCCCTTTAAAAGGCTCTGGGAAACAGGATGGTTGGGTCTCCCTGAGAGGCAGCACGTCATAGGGACCAGCAGTAGAAACACAAGAACCAAGCTGCCTGCATTCGAATCCTGGCTCTGCTTATGAGCCGTAGGACTTAACAATCTGTGGCTCAGTTTTCTCACTTGTGAAAAACGGGGATAACAGTAACAATCACCTCATAGGATTATCCTGAGGATGATGTGAGTTCAAATCTGCAAAGTACGTGTTTGTTAAATGCTCTATCAGACCACCTGCCTGGTGGCTGCTGGGGGTCCCAGGGCAGAGAACCTCTCTCCTGGCCCATCTCAGAGGCACTCACATTGCACATTGAGGATGACCGAGGCATTGGCTGACCGGCCACTACCCGGGTCCTGCAAGGAGCAGTTGAGCTCATGCTGGGCCCTCTGGGCAGTAACAGTGAAGGTGCTGGTGCCTCCAGAGAAGGCCTCACCGCCCACGCTCAGCAGTCTTGAGGTGCTGGCCTCCTGCAGTTGTCCGTCCAGGTACCAGGCCAGTCGGGGGGTCCCAGGCCCCCCTGCCACCCGGCAGGTGAAGGCGTGGCGTTCGTTTTCTCGAAGTGCCCGCTCGGCCCAGGTCTGACCATCAATTTGTGGTGCCAATTCCCCCCAACCTGGAACACAGCAGGGAGTTGTGGGGAGAGCTGGGAGAAGGTCGGTACTGGGGTACTGGCCTGTGACCAGCACGACATCCGCTTACAGAGGGGCAGAGGACCAGGGACCAGTGCACTTGGTTAGGTTCGCTCACCAGGAATTGGCTGGACCCTGGGTAGGTGGGTGAGGGGAAGCCAGCTCTGGTCCCTGTGGCCTGAAGCGGGTTCCCAAACCCAAGGTGCAGACAAAGAGGGGAAAGAGGGGGGTTGCCCCCAGAAGTGCTCGGCCAAGGGGTAAAAGGGGGTGTACCTGAGCTCAGAAGGGCTGGCAGGAGCAGCAGTGTATGCGGGAGGGCAGCTGGGCCTGGGGGCAGCGCCATGGTGGCTCAGGCCTGGGCCCCAGGCTGCCGAGAGAAGGGGGCGGGCCTCGACGTTAGCCAGGTGACCGCACGCAGGCTCGGTAATTCCTCCGGGAATTTACTCTCCAGAAACAAAAATAAACCGTGCACCAACACACAAATAGAGCCTGACCCGCAGCGGCGAAGACGAGGACGACAACAGCCCAGCGCCAAGGCCAGAGCCGACCCAGTGGCTACCAACCCACCTTGCGGGCTCAGAACCCGGCACCGCCCCCAAGGCACAATCAAGCGCCGGCTCGCGGACGCAGAAACCGCGCGCAACCGCGCAGCCCGCACTGGGCGGCTCGCGCGCACGCGCACAGGCGGACACGCGGCGCAGTGCCCCTCCCCCAAGGGGACCGTCCCCCGGACCCCTTTCCCCCACCCCCCTTTACCCTCCCTTCCGTGGCCCCACGCCCCCTTTACCACCCTCCGGGGACCAGGCGGAAGTGGGCCGGCACGGCGGAGGTCCGGGCGGCGGGGGTCGCACGACAGCTCCGCCCCGCCGCCCCAGGCGGCTCACCTGGCGCCCTCCCCACGCTCCTTCCGAGCGACTGCTCCTGTCTGCGGGGCGCTGCAGTCCGTGGCGGGGCCGGGCGGGGCCAGGCGGGGCCAATCAACGCCCGAGCACGCCCACCCGCCCCCTCCCCTTCCCGCCCCGCCCCGCCCAGCTCTCCGGACCCCGGCCGACCACGAAGAGCCCTGCCGCTGCGGGGCCGGCGGCTGGACGCAGACACGGACGCGAGTGGGAGAGAGCCGGCAGCTTTATTGGATCGTCTCAGCGGCCGTTGCGGGGCGCGCGCAGCTGCCGCATCATGTCGGCCAGCATGCGGTTGCACAGCGCGGCATAGGGGTTGAGCAGCACCAGCTGGCGCCGCGCGAACGGGCTGCCCAGCCGCGCCGCCCGCTCGAAGTCCCTGCGGGCGTCGTCGTCCCGGCCCTGCAGCCGCGCCAGGAGCCCGCGCTGCACGAAGCCCTGGCGGGCGGCGCGACCCCGGCCGCCGCTCAGCGCCACAGCGCGTTCCAGGTCCTCCAGGGCGCCTGCGGGACGGAAGGCGGTCAGAACCGAGGCCCCGGGGCAGGGCCACCCGACACCCGCCTGCCCTTGCTCCTCGTCACACGTGCACACTGGAGGAGTTGGCCACACTTGCCCCGGGCCGCACAGCCAGTTTAGTGACAGAGCTGAGACTGTGGTCCCTATCACCTTTCACCATCGAATACACCAAAACGTGAAGGGTGCTGGGACGATTTTGAATGGTCACTATGGTAATGAATCTGGCCCGTTGTCCAGCAGAAGCAGGCCGTTTTTTCCAGTCATAGGCTATTAAGTATCTACCACGTGCCAAGTGGCTGACTCTGAATCTCAAAGTCCAAATTTATCATGTACTGACAACCATTTCTTACAAGTATAATAAAATCCATTTCTCTTTCTTTTCCTTTTGAAGACATTCCTCTCCCCTTATTCAGTGTATGCTTTAAAACAACTTTTCCCTGGGGCACTTGGGTGCTTCAGCAGGTTAAGCAGCCGGTTTGGGCTCAGGTCATGATCTCATGGTTCATGAGTTCGAGCCCAAGTGGGCTCTGTGCTGTCAGCCCCAAGTGCTTGAGGTCCAACTCTCTCTCTGCCCCTCTCGCGCTCTGTCTCTCAAAAGTAAATACACAGGGGCGCCTGGGTGGCTCAGTCGGTTAAGCGGCCGACTTCGGCTCCCAGGTGGGTCATGATCCAGGCTCAGGAAGTTCTGAGCCCCTGCGTCGGTTTCCAGGCACTGACAGCTCATATCTGGAGCCTGCTTCAGATTCTGTGTCTCCCTCTCTCTGACCCTCCCCGTTCATGCTCTGTCTCTCTCTGTCTCAAAAATAAATAAACGTTACAAAAATTAAAAAAAAAAAGTAAATACACATTAAAAAACGTATGTTTAAAACGGCTTCTCCCTCACCTGTTCTCCCTGCTGACTGCCTTTCCTCATTCTTTGTCTCCATGATCTTCCTTATTTTCTATCTATTTTCATTAAAGGAGGTTGAGTTGTGTCAGGCTGGTCTCAAGACATTGCTCCATATCCTTCTCATGAAATACTCGGATTGGGCATTAAACTCTGAATTCAAACTCAGGCAGCTGTTGGTATTTTAGGGCCCAGCTGCAGTTTTTCTGGGCTCTGCCCAGGTCACTCATGCTCTCTAGTCTAAAGAGCTGTCAGGGCGCGTGAGAAGCTCCAGCATCACCCTACAGAGAGGCTGATCTCTGTCCAGTCTCTGTGTGTTTTGATCCCAGAACCCAGCGAGGGCTAGGCTGCCCAGGCCACCCAGATGGTTAAGAAGCTCTCTGATCAGGGCTGGGCGCCTGGGTGGCTCAGTCAGTTAAGCATCCGACTTCGGATCAGGTCATGATCTCACGGTTCGTGGGTTCAGCCCCATCAGGCTCTGTGTGCTGACAGCCTGAGCCTGCTTCTCGATTCTGTGTCTCCTCTCTCTGTGCCCCATTTTTCTCATGCTCTTGTCTCTCTCTCCTCCCTCAAGAATAAATAAAACATTAAAAAAAAAAAAAAAAGAAGCTCTCTGATCACAGAAGCTCTCTGATCATAGCGTTTCTGGGTTTCCCTTGGAGGAGCCGGTCTGGAGGAATGGAAAGCCTTTTCCAGGCAGCATCACCTCTGTTCCTCTCTGGGCTTTTTATCTGCAGACTGTCCTCAGCTACTTTTACAGCCCCACTCAGCCCCCTCCTGCCAAAGCCAGGCAACCAAGCCTGGAGAAGGGGTCCTTGGTTCCCCCCACTGTTCCCAGAATGTTCAAAACCCTTCAGGCTGGCGTTCCTGGCTGCAGGAGCACCTCAACCACCGTGACGGTTTTCTGTGGTTTACACCTGCAGTCTGCCCTCCGGTCTCCAGCATGGCCTTCTCTGTCCCATTGTCCCCCTTCCAGTTAGAGTTGCCCAAGGGCAGCAGGTTCAATCCGGTCACTCCCCAGTTAAAATCCTTTTAATGATTCCCCATGTGTTCAAGACACAGTCCAACCTGCCTAACGTTGCCATCAGGCTCCTGTTTACTTCTCCAGGCTCTACTCCACCCTCCCACCACTCCCCATTCCAGCCAGCCTGGAGTTCTGAAGTTCTCTGTACTTTTCCATGCCTTCTGGGTCTCTACCTGCCTGTACCTTCTCCCACTTCCTCTCCTCCATCCAGCTGCAGCCTATTCATCCTTTCAAACTCACCCCTGGCGGCCGGGGGGTGGGGGGTGAGGGGTGGGGGGCAGACACTGTGCTGAACCTTCTCAGCTTGTCTCATGGCTGTGGGTCTGTCCCACCCCTCGGACCGTGAGCTTCTTGAGAAGCAGTAGCACAGGGGCATTAAGAGCACAGACCTTGGAGCCCCACCACCTGCTTCAAACCCCAATTCTGCTACAGTCTTCTTCTATAAAAGGGAGGTACCAATAGCGCACACCTTTGGGGGTTGTTGTGAAGTTACACGGAAAGTGCCGGACACCCGGCACAGAGTAGGAGTAGTTCCTGTGGGTGGTCTATCTCTCCTCTTTGTCCTAGCCCACCGCTACAACAGTAGACTCTCATTAAATGTTTGTTACATAAACGAATGGAATGCGATCTCTTTGACCTTCCCAATAGCCCCCAGAGACTAGCAGGGCCCATGGGATAGCTCTTATAGGTAAGAACATAGGTTCCAGAACAGTCCCAGCCTCCAGGCCCCAGTCCCACAACCACTCCATCTCTGGTCTGTGGACCCCAGGGTCCCTTCTGTGGAAGTTCCAGGGCATGTCCCCTCACCTGCCACATCTCCTTGGAGTCGGCGGGCCTGGGCTCGGTTGTTGTAGGCGGAGGCCCGCTCAGGCAGCAGGCTGATGGCTTGGCCAAACCTCTCCAGGGCCGTGCCGAGGTCGCCAGCCTCCGCTGCCATCACTCCTTGCAGCTCCAGGGCCTTGGATTGCTCCAACTGTGCTCGAGGGAAAACTCCATCTGTGTCAGGAAGGGAACAGGGAAGGGACAGGTGTGCAGCTGCGAGCAAGAAGCAAAAGCCAGCTCGAGCTTTGGAAAGCCGGGACCTGAGCCGGAGGGGTTGGCTGGGACGTAGGATTGGCTCAGGGCTTGGCTGGGAACGGTGTGGAACCCTGAATGCCTGCTGAGGCTGTGCATGTCGAGGTCAGAAACGTTGAGTAGAGCCCCTCCCCACCCCTTCCATCCTGTGGGGAGTGAAATGCCCCTGTTATGACAAAGATGTGAAAGTTTAGCACCTTCCCGCGGCCCCAGTACAGTCGAGCTTGGATTACGGGGTGAACTAAGTGGTGAGGGAAGGTCAGAGGTGTGAGGGCTGAAGGACAAATCCTGGCTTTCTCCTTTTGGCGGAGAAACTCTTGCCGAGCCCCCAACCTGTGCACCAACGATCAGTAGACCTGATTCCAACCTCAACCGTCATTCAAGGGTCACGGAACAAGGGGCCTTGTGAGACTACCATCCTCTGCCACCAGAGGAACACTGCCGTTCAAAGTCGAACTCACCTTCGTCTACTTCTTCCTTCTCCACTTCCTCTCCCACGTCCAACCCAACAAGGTCTCCGAATGGGGTGTCAGGGTTGAAGATGGCCTGCAGCACTGCCTGATCATTGGGAGTCCCCATGGTGCTGGTGCCCCACTCCCAACTCCGAGGTGAGTCAGGATAGAGGGGGAGGGGGGAAGGGGGCTGAGCCTCACAGCCAGCTCATCTGGAGGGCAGAGGTTCTGTTTGAGGTCCATCCCCCATGAGGAGTGTCTTGCAATCCTTGGCTGTAACGTAAACCCAACCTCATTTGGCCTGGGGTTAGCAACTCTGGCTTGGCAAAATATTTAAAAATGTTTCTTAACTCCCTACCCCAGTCCTAGGGGGAACGAACAGAGTAAATAAATCCAATTTCTGCCTTAAGGTGGAGCGAGAGGGGATGCTTCCTGAAATGCCTTCATTTTATTACATTCATAGATTGGGAGGAAGTCATTAGAAGCCCTCTTGATCGCCCCGTGGCTTAAAAAAAAAAAAAAAAAAAAAAGAGGGGCTATGCAGGAGATAAAGCTCTTCCGTTGTCCTCTTTATGCCCTCGTCATACCCAGGATTAATTAGGTCCCGAACACACACCATCGATGAGGGAGGGAAGAAAACACCGTTCAGGGTCAGTGTGGGGTGGGGCCTGGTGCCCGGAGGAAGGCGAGGCAGAGAGATTCAAGGATTCCACCTTAAAAGAAAGGACTGTGGAAGGTACTTTGCAGTCAGGTCACAGGCCACTAGCTGCTCTGGTTCCTCCACCCCACCCAAAGCCAAAAGAAAGTTTGATCGTGTGCAGCAATAAACTTGACATGTTTATTAATTAAACTATCACTTAAATAAAAAAAAGTGCATAGAAAATAAACATGTTTAAAAACTCCTTTTTTTTTTTTTTACAACTATGTACACTTTTTACTTTTACATTCAGTCTTTCGTAGAGAGCTTTCAGCATTATTATTTTTTGAACTATTAAAGTATTTTCCTTCATCCCTGTCACAGGGAGTTAACACTGATGGACTTTAGACACATTTTTTTCCTTTTTTTTTTTTTTTTTTTTTCTCTAACCAGAAGCTTGGAAGAACACAAGGAAAAAAACCAAAAGATCTGTTATACATGATAAAGTTGTCAAGAAATGTCTTATTTCTAGAAAAGAAGCTTGTCATCTGTTGAGCTTTTGAAACAATTATTCAACTACCTGTATTTACTAAAGAGACTGTTAAAAGTTCAATAAAAGAAACACCACAAGTCTATTTTCTTGGTTGAAAGACAGAACTAGAGTACCTCGGAACAAGATACCAGGAAAGCACAGAACACAATTTTCCCCTAAATGCAGGTGGTAACCCCAACATTCATAACCAAAAATAGAGAAACGAGGAGCACAGGTACTGACTGGCAACATTCATGGGCAGAAAAAATCCAGGTGACACCATTTCTGCATTTCTCTCTGATCCTAGGAATGGGTCGTTCCCCGGTCCCTTTATGGTTTGGGTCTC